TATATATATATATATATATATATATATATATATATATAAGATTTTAAGTAAACTACAAGTGCACATTAAATACAATTCAGCATACTGAACATTAAATACAATTAAGATACTGAGCACACTGATAATCTGTAGTCCTCAGTCAAAAATTTGTAACTTATCCTTAAAGATCCTATATACTCCAACAAAAGCTAAATAAAAACTAGACCTATTAGAACATAAATTTCCCATGATTGTTATAATTCCAATAGAATAAAATACACTGTAGTTTTAAAGCACATGCTTCAGAGTTCTGGAAGTAGGGTTCATATGATATTTAACTTCAATCAAATAACAATCTAAAAAATTAAGACTCATCCAGTATTGCTTAATGTACTTAAAGCACATTTTCACTTTATTCATCACATCGGCTCTGTCTGAAATGCTCTAAACTAAAACCCTGTTTTTAGGACCACCTCATGACCTCCAAGTGCAGGAGATTCGTAAGGACTCTCTGGTCTTGCTCTGGAAACCGCCTGTCTACCAGGGTCGTGATCCTATCAATGGATACTACATTGATATCAAAGAGGCTGAAGCAGACTTTGAGATGTGGAGAGGAGTCAATGAGAAAGCTACTGACAAGACATTCATGAAGGTTTGTATGCATGTAGAAATCAAGGGGCAGTGGAATTGGCTTGTTAAGGGTTGTGACATTGGCATACCCTTGAGAAAAAAGTACTCTTTAGAAAATTCAGTTCAATTATTTTTCAGTAATATAGTGTATTTAAGAATATACTTAAGTGTGAACTGAATGCAATGTTTTAGGACACTTAGTTGCATTGCAATTAAATACAAATGTATTATAGTTAAAATTTATATTAAATGCAGTTAGCTCAAATTTAGAGTGTTTTCTGCCCACTTAAGTAGGATTTAAGTACATCTTTATGGCCTGGTTTCATAGAGAGGGCTTAGGTTAAACCAGGATTAGGCAATAGGTCAATTAGGACATTCAAGTAGTTTTTATAAAGGTGCCTTAGAAAACATTACTGGTGTGCATCTTGAGACAAAACAAAAGCACTGACATATTTTAAATATCAGTCAGTGCAAGTTTATTTCTGTTGAAACAACTTAGATTTACATTTTAGTCTGGGACTAGGTTTAAGCCTTGTCTGTGAAACCAGGGGTATATGTAATGTCATAATTACTTTGGTTGTCTTTGAAATATGGTTAAAGTGTAGTGAATGTACTGACAATCATTTATAGTAAACTAAAATGTACTTTAATATCATTTCTATTGAAACGTGTGTCATGTATTTAAATATATTTGAAATTACACATTTGTAATTTAGTACATTTAAAATACATTAACCTTAACCTTTACATGTGCTTTAGTATGTCAAAATAAGCACAACAAAGATTATTAAAACACAATGACTCAAAATGTACTTTACAACTTTTAATTTGACATTATTATAAAGTGCATTTTTTAAAAGTGTACTTAAGTGTGTTAAGAAACAGTCATGAAAGTGTCTCTCTTTAAGTCACTCCAGTGGCCTTTTATTTCATTAATATTATATTATCTGCAAGTAATGTAAAAAATAAAAATTTTAAATGTACTTTTAATATTTTAAGTACACTAAAAGTTCACATTAAATACAATTAAGTTCACTTCTTTTTTCACAAGGGTAGGTTTATGGTATGTTGTTTCTGTTGTTCTAGATCAAGGATCTAAAGGAGGGGGAATCGTATGTTTTCCGTGTGCGCGCTCAGAATAAGGCTGGCGTAGGAAAAGTATCAGATTCTACAGAACCGGTTGAGGCCGTGACTAAGCCAGGTACTAAACTGCACTAAACCAGAATTTCTCAAATAACATATTATTGTACTAAATAGCTATGGCACATAAACTTAAATTAATGTGAAATTAAAAATACTTGTTCCTTATCTTCATGTGTGCAATTCATACTTTTGTCTTCATTATCTTTCTTCAAATAACTTGAAATGAAAAGAAAACCTATCCTCCAAACACAGGTTGTATAGAGACTACTTTTCATGACCCAAACAATTCCTGATGGATAATATCAGTTCTGCCATTTTTCCATTGAATATCCTGTTTCCTTCTGAGAAATCGATTATTACAGTAGTGAAAAGGATTGTAAATACGGTTGACTTTAAGTTGAAGCAGACCATGCTGAACTTGATTCAGAGTATATGTTGAACAAAACCATATGCGGCTATATCAGAGTAAACAGGAAAGAACAAAACAACACAAAGACGTAATCGTTACAGTGGGTGCTTTAGGAAGTGAGGAGTCACCAAGACTTAACGACTCTCGACAAACGCCAACAAGCTATTTCTTTCTCACAGGTACAACTGAGATAGTTGTGAATGTTGACGATGATGGCGTCATTTCACTGAATTTTGAGTGCTCTAACCTCACCGCTGACTCCAAATTCGTCTGGTCCAAGAACTACGTGGAAATGGCAGAACTTGAACGCATGACCATAGAGACCAAGGGTAGCAAGTAAGTGCGTATGTGCTAATAATGAGCTTTGTTAAATTATTAATATTTAAAATAACGTTTTCAAGGGTTAGTTCAACCAAAAATGAAAACTGTGTCATTACCACCCTCATGTTGTACCAAACACATAAGACCTTTATTCTTATAAAAATGAAGGAAATAATTGAATTGAAAATAACGTGCCTCACGGGTGTTTATTGATTAGGGTTAGGGTAGGTGTAGGGAGGGCTGTGTCCCAAAGCTGCATCCATTTAATAATTTTAACATTCTAATTTATGCTCAATACATTATTATTGCATACTACAGCAATAAGCCCCAAGAAGCCGTGGTTTACAATGAGTTTATAACCACGGCTTCACAGGGCTTATTGCTTTTATAAAACGGTTATTCCATATACGTAGTAAGGTTTCGCAAAAATAAAACAGAGCAAATAAAGTGTCATGATGTTAATAACACACAGAAGTAAACAAAGGTGTATGTTTGTAGAGTAATTTACAACAGCTTCGAACGCGGCTCAGCCAATCAGAATCAAGGACTATCCGTTTTATAATGTTTTATAATGCACTACAATACTGAGGTGCAGATATCTGCCACTATTTGCACTAGATAGCATCTAACTATTATTACTGCAAAGAAAATACTCCTTACAGTGTAAATAGAATCCATTGCTATTTGCATGTAGTGTAAATAGCATCTACCTGCTGCCTTTTTAAAGTAATAGCTCACCCAAAAATTTGCTAAAATGTACTCACGTTCAGGCCATTCAAGATTTAGATTAGTTGGTTTCTTCATCAGAACAGATTTAGAGAAATATAGTATTGCATGACTTGCTCAGCAATGGATGCTCTGCAGTGAATGGGTGCCGTCAGAATGAGAGTCCCAATAGCTGATAAAAACATCACAATAATCCACACCAGTCCAGTCCATCAATTCAAGTCTTGAGAAGCAAAAAGTTGCGTGTTTGTAAGAAACAAATCTGTCATTAAGATGATTTTTAACAGCAAAATTTAATTTTTGGGTGAACTATTACTTTAATATTCATTTTTGTGCATCCATTGAAAGTCTAGGTAGTCAACATTTTCAAGCTTCAAAAAGTACATAAAGACATCTTAAAAGTAATCCAAATGAATCGAGCAGTTTAATCCAAGTCTTCTGAAGAGACACGGTTGGTTTGTATGATGAACATGCTTTTATTCACATATAAATATTGATAAATTCACATACAAAGAGCACATCAAATTTGGTCAGTTGAGCATAACTATGGCTCAAATATGCTTGCATGACATGTGAGAACAAACCTAGTTCTGCATGCACATTTGAGCTTCTGTTTGTTAATTGACTTTTTATGGATGGACAAAATCATGAGAGAATATTAAAAATATCTTAATTTTTGTTTCAAAGATGAGGGTTTGAAAATATTGTATTGTTGGTATTTAACTTGTATACCTTCTAATCAATCATATTTAAAAGTCTCTTGGGCTCGATATTTACAAAAATATATTATTTATTAAATGTAGCAAACAATTTCATCACATTTCAAGAAAAAGATTAGCATGGGATCATCTTGCAGTAATTCTTCGATACTGGTCTGTAGGTCCAAAGCCATCTTTAAAACACCTTCAGAAGAAGACCTGGGTATCTACTCTTGTTTCGTGACACACACTGATGGAGTCTCTGCCAGCTACACACTCTCTGAGGAAAGTGAGTTCATTGACCTTTTTCATTTTTATATGTTTGAATTCACCAAGTTAACACTGGTTATTGATTCTGATCCTTTCTCTGTCCTGTTCCTCGCAGCTCTAAAAGAACTCCTGAAGATCAGCCACGACCACAAATTCCCCAGTGAGTAACCATCACATCACATGCACTCTTGAAACATTTCATTAACTTCATTTTGAATGTGTGAGCACTTGCTCAATCCTGTATGCTTTAGCATACTTGTAAAAGTACTTTTTGTGGAAATAATGCTTTATATTACTTTAAAGTAATACACTTAAAGGGATAGTTCACCCAAAAATGAAAATTATATCATTACTCACCCTCATGTCGTTCCAAACCCGTAAGACCTTCGTTCATCATTCGGAACACAATTTAAGATATTTTTGATGAAATGCGAGAGCTTTCTGATCCTCCCACAGACAGCAAGGGTCCTAACACGATCAAGGCACAGAAACGTAGCAGGGACATCGTTAAAATAATCCATGCGACATCAGGGGTTCAACCGTAATTTTACGAAGCAATGAGAATTATTTTTTGTGCGCAAACAAAAATAACGACTTTATTCAAACAATTCGTCTCCTCCGCGTCACCCTATAGCACCATTTTGGAGAGTATCACATACGTAAACAACATATGTGAGCAGCACCGTACGCGGATACACTGTTTATGTTGTTTACGCTTTGATCTGAACGTAAACAGCGTATCCGCGTACATACGTGGCATACATGGTTTATATGTGACCCTGGAGCACAAAATATTATTTTATGCCAAAAATCATTAGGATGTTAAGTAAAGATCATGTTCCATGAAGGTATTTTGTAAATTTCCTACCGTAAATATATCAAAACTTAATTTTTGATTAGTAATATTCATTGCTAAGAACTTAATTTGGACAACTTTAAAGGAGATTTTCTCAGTATTTAAATTTTTTTGCACCCTCAGATTCCAGATTTTCAAATACAGTAGTTGTATCTCGGGCCAAATATTATCCCATCCTAACAAACCATACATCAATGGAAAGCTTATTTATTTTGCTGTAGATGATGACTGGTTGAGTTGAAATTGACCTGTATGACTGGTTTTGTGGTCCAGGGCCACATATGATCATGGAGCTCAACTAGAGTGACCATCAGGTTCTTGGTCACCACACTAACCAAAGCCCTTCTCCATCAGTTGCTCAGTTTGGTCAGGAGGCCCGCTGTAGGAAGAGTCCAGGTTGTTTCAAACTTCTTCCATTAAGGGTAACAGAGACCCTTAAATGAAGCAGAAATTTTTTTTTTCTGAACTCTTCCCCAGATGTGTGGCTTGACACAAACCTATTTCTGAGCTCTACATGCAGTTATTTTGACCTCAGGGCTTGGTTTTTGCTTTGATATGCATTATCAGCTGTTGATTAAGATGTGTGTGCCTTTCCAAATCATGCCCATTCAATTGAATTTGCCACAGGTTAACTTCACTCGAAGTGTAGTGACATCTACAAGCGATTTGAATGCTCCTGAGCTAAATTTCAACTGTCCCAAATAAGGGTATGAATACTTATGCAATGGAATCATTTAAGTTTTTTATTTTTAATAAATTTGCAAAGATGTGAAAACCTGTTTTTTGCTTTACCATTATGGTGTATGGAGTGTAGATTGATGTGGGAAAAAAGTAATTTAAAGCAGTTTAACATAAGGCAGCAACTGAAAAAAATGAAGGGGTATGAATACATTCGCAAGGCACTGTAAGTGCAGTTTTTTTTGTTTATTTGCACAATTAAACACTCATTTTTCACAAGAGTAGTTCTATTAAATAGTGTACTAACCACTAATTGTTGTGTTCTATAAACAAAAGCAAATTAATGTGTGAAATGAAAAAATAACAAATTTCCTACATTTAGAATACAGCTCTGTGATGTAGGATTTTACAAATGAGATTGACAAGAGCGACAAAATGTTGTGCCACATGACACTTATCCTTGGTTAAGACAAAAGCTTGTTCAGCATGAAAGATGTATTGCTTGCCAGTTTATCGATTGCATCATGCCTGGTTACGACATTGCGTTTCAACACAAAAACAGAGCACACGTATCAAGGTTCAGTACAACTCCCATCCTGCCATAGGTCTCCAAAACAAAGGATATTATTCAGGACAGACTTAATGTTTTCAAAACTTTTTCGCTCCTCCTCTCCAGTCATCCCTCTGAAGACAGAGCTGGCCGTGGAGCTGCTGGAGAAGGGCAGAGTTCGCTTCTGGTTGCAGGCTGAGAAGATCTCTGCCAATGGAAAAGTTGAATATGTGTTCAATGACAATGTGGTCCACCAGGGAGAGGTTAGAGGAACACAGAAACAAACATGCAGCGCATGAAGCATTATACATGCCGTTGACTGGAAATAGTCCTTTGGCTTGCTTCTGCATTAACACTTACTCTGTGTTGTAGAAATACAAGATGAACTTTGATAAAAATACTGGCATCATTGAGATGTTCATGGAGTCTCTGGGCAAAGAGGACGAGGGAACGTTCACTTTCCAGCTTCAAGACGGCAAAGCCACTAACCAGTCCAGTCTAGTGCTGATCGGAGATGGTACATCTAAAAGTCCATATACATATATGCATCTCATGTATAGCGTGTGTACCAATAACACCATCTCATTTCCTTCAGTGTTCAAGCAGTTACAGAAGGAATCAGAGTTCCAGAAAAAAGAATGGATTAGAAAGCAAGGTATGATATGTGCAGTATTATTTAAAAAATACTGTATACCCACTGTGTTTGTACATTAATCGTGCCGTTCGTGCTCCGTAAGGTCCACACTTCGTGGAGTATCTCGGTTATGAAGTCACACCTGAGTGCTGCGTGAGACTGAAGTGTAAGGTGAGCCGTCTCTCTGATTAAACACTCCACTTCAACTCTAATGCTGCCGGTTTCTTTATTAGTGACATATTAACATGTGATGCAGGTTGCTAATATGAAGAAAGACTCTGTGGCGCTGTGGTATAAGGATGGACGAGAGATTAAGGTCAATGAGAAACTGGATTTCTCTGAAGGAGTGTTGACTTTGGAGATCGCTCAGGTGAGCAGCATTTCTCAAAGTTATCCAGACATTGAAAACATGGTCAACAATATACCTGCTGACAAATATGGCCTCCACAAGCATTTAAATATTAAGGAGAGATGTTTAGTTAATTATTAACTAAAAAAACATAAAATGTTCATTGGTATTGCTATTATATATGACTTTCCTCCTTTAAAAAATTTGCACAGGCAATACAAACACTGAAAATCCTGCAAATATTAACTAGTATAACTGTCCCCAGACCTTAAAAATATCAAAGCCCTGCACATAACGTGAAAAAAAGTCATTCCCACTAGTTACATTGTATTCCTTATTTCCTTGGTTTTAGTTAAACCATTGCTTTGTTGTAATTAAATCATGGGAATGAATTAATAAATCATGCTCAATGATTTCTAAATTCATGGCCACAGTTTTTTTTTTTTACAGGAATAAACGTGTTACAAAAAGACGGATAATAAAAGTATGCAGCCTGTTGAAATACATAGTGTGCATTAAATGTCAGATGTTTTACAAAAAAAATTTATAATGTGGTCACTATTCTATTCTAGTCTTATTTTTATAGCAAGTAGATTATAACATACAATACAATGATATAAACACTTGTTTAATGTTTTACAATATAATATAAAGTATGGGTATTAATACACAGTCTTGAATTCAGCCAAATGACTTTTTTTACATATATATTAACATATAAATCACAAACATATGTGACCCTGGGTCTTAAGTCGCTGGGGTCCCTATTTTACCCAGCACTGTGTTGTATTTAACTCAGCATTTTTTTGTGCAATTTTAATGCCATGCTATATATTTTACATATAAATTGTCCCTTAACACTTATACTCTCAGCTCCCTACAACAATCGCTACATAAATATATGTCTCATCATAATTGATCTTTTAAAAAGGATTTTCTATCATCTGTTTTTCAGGATTCAAAGACCTGATGAACCAGGTTTTCAGTGTTATTGGTAAGATTTACAACATCATTTTCAAACCAAAATTAGTTGTAAATTGTGACCCTGGACCACAAAATCTAAATCAGTCATAAGGGTAAATTTTTTTAAATTGAAATGTATACATGATCTGAAAGTTGAATAAATAAGCTTTCCATTGATGTATGGTTTGTTAGGATAGGACATATTTGGCCGAGATACAACTATTTGAAAATCTGGAATCTGAGGGTGCAAAAAAATCTAAATATTGAGAAAATCATCTTTAAAGTTGTCCAAATGAAGTTCTTAGCAATGCATATTACTAATCAAAAATTAAGTTTTGATATATTCACTGTAGAAAATTTACAAAATATTTTCATGGAACATGATCTTTACGTAATATCCTAATGATTTTTGGCATAAAAGAAAAATCAATAATTTTGACCCATACAATGTATTGTTGGCTATTGCTACAAATATACCCCAGCCACTTCAGACTGATCACAATTAATCTTCACACTCACAGTATATCTTTACATTTCAACATAGTTTTAGCAGCATGTGAGCAATGTTGACGTTCTTTCTGTCCAGCGAACTCCTCCACTCCACTGAAGATCCAGAGCACAGAGGAGGGAATCAGGCTTTACACCTTCGTCAGCTACTACAACGACGAGCTGCATGTCACCTGGCATCACAAGTAAGAGCATGTGACTGTGTTTAAAGGGACAGTTCACCAAAATGACAATTTAACTCATCAGAAAGAAACTCATACAGGTTTGGAACAGACTGAGGGTGAGTAAATGAATTAATTTTTGGGTGAACTGTCCCTTTAAGAAATGTTTCTCTTAATTAGTCCATAAATTACTCACCCTCAAGGTGTATATGACTTGCTGGAGCTGCTTCCGTGTAGGACTGTTGGCGCAAGCTACATTAAAGTGATTATTACGTTTTGAATAATGTTATTTTTCTTACAAAAAAACGCATTGATTCGCTACAGAAGGCATTTGTTCACCACTCGGAGCCGTGTGAGGCAATTTTTTTTTATGGATGGGCACTTTTTATTTAACTTGCAATATACACCATTTTTAATATAACTCCGACTGGATTCGGAGAAGAAAGAGAAGAAAGTCATATACACCTAGGATGCCTCGGGGGTGAGTAATTTATGGGCTAATTTTCATTTTTGGGTGAACTAACCCTTTAAGCATGCATGACTTGTTTCTAGCATTAAGGATATTTTCAGAGAGCAAATTTGACAAGCATATCTGAAGTTTAATATACAGCTATAAATATGTGATTGTTTAGTTTAGTTAGAAAGCTTAGCCTCAAGACTTTATGGAAATCTGGAAAATGTCTAAACTACAGAGCCCCACACATGACATGCAGAAAAATACACTGTATCATTCTCACGAGTCACATGCACATTTTACTCTTTCGTTCCTTCATTTTAGTTCAATCGTGGCCATGTTTTACGTACTAAATTGTCAGGAATTTTTTTTCAGTTCATTTTTTTTAATGAACTGAATCCACCATAATTTGCAAATAAATTCTTAAAAAATCCTACAATGTGACTTTCTGGATTTTTTTTCTCATTTTGTCTCTCATAGTTGAGGTATACCTATGATGAAAATTACAGCCTCTCTCATCTTTTTAAGTGGGAGAACTTGCACAATTGGTGGCTGACTAAATACTTTTTTTCCCCACTGTATATATGTATATATATATATATATAGCATAAGCAACATACAGTATAAATACATGTTAAGTATAACATCAGCATATGGGCTTTCACAAACCAACATTATTACTTTCTCAGTACCAAGACTTGAAAAGCTACAACTTGTGTTCACTGTAGTGTGTGTGTGTGTATGTGTGTGTGTGTGTGTGTGTGTGCGTTTTATTAAAGGGACGCTGCGATCGCATTCACCGAGCGCATTAAGAGCGGTGTGGTGGGAGAGCAGCTGTGGCTGCAGATCTCTGAACCCACAGAGAAAGATAAAGGCAAATACGCCATTGAGTTCTTCGATGGGAAAGGAGGCTTGCGCAGAACTGTGGAACTGGCTGGACAAGGTGAAGAAACATGCTCCAAACCTAGTGACCTGCCTTGCTGCCTGCTGCCTTCATTATATTACGACTGCGACTAAACGTCGAACTGCAACAGTCAGATCCGTTCTCCTCTGAAAAAATGAGAGCACTTGGACCAAAATTTTAAAAAACCCTGTCCGTGGCCACAGCGGGCAAAAATCTCATTGTGGTTTACTTTAGTTGTGATGGGATCTCCGTTTGTGAAAAATAAGTGCACTTATCTGTACTGAATGTGCACTTGTAGTGTACTACTATGTACTTATTATAGTAATTACAATAACTAGGTACTAACCCTGAACCTACCCCTAAACCTAACCCTACCTCATGTACTTACCTTATATTACCAGTGCTTTCTTACACTATAAGTGCACTGTAAGTACATGGAAGTACACATACTGTAAAATAAAGTGCAACCGGATATTTTTTTTTAAAACTATATTTGCAAATAATATAATATAATAATGAAATAAAAGGCCACTTTTAACACAGACACTTTCATTACTGTTTCTTTGCATATTTAAGTACACTTTTAAAAAGTACACTTTGTAAAAATGTCAAATTATTACAAAAACTGTAAATCGTTTTGATAATCTTTTGTAATGTTTTAAAGTACACTTATATGATGTGTGACTAACATACTAAAGCACATATAAAGTACTTTGGTATTAAATTTAATATTAAGTTAAATTGCATGTTTACCATTTGTAATGTGTAATTACCAATATATTTAAATACATGACATACAAGTTTCAATAGAAATTACCTTAGAGAATATTTTAGTTTATCATAAAATCTTGTCTGTACATTCGGCAGTACTTTCGAAGACAATAGAAGTAAGTACTTAAGTGGGTCAAAATCACTCTAAAGTTCAGCTAATTGCATTTAATAAAAATGTAAACTATAATACATTTTCACTGAATTGTCATTAACATGCGGTTAAGTTTCTGAAAATGTTACATTCAGCTCAAGCATAAGTGTATTCTTTTAAATTATTATTATTTCCATAATAAGCTCTCTTTCTAAAATTATGATAAAGAGCACTTCTTGGATATTGTTCAGTAATATTTTTCACAATAAGTGCAGCAAACAGCAGATTGAAGTCAAACCATACGGCCGAGATGCTCTCTGTATTGTAGAAATGTGCCATTTGCAATCAATCAGGATTCATTTATTAAATGTCTGATAATAGGAGATTACTGATATGAAGCCAATATATTGGTCTGGTTATGTGACCTTAAAACTGTGGTTCCAATGAGCAGCGCAGCTCCATGTAAATAAAAACAGGTTTTAGGCTATACTCATAGGAGTGTAGGATTTTAAGAAATACTATTCATATATGTATTTTTACGTAAATTTTATATGAGGAAAAACGAATTAAAATACTTAAAATGCTGTTTAATTAGGTTGCTCAGTTGAAACGGAATGTTTATGATCGTGCATTTAAATTGAACTTTTATATTTTCAGCATTTGACGATGCATTTGCTGAGTTTCAAAGACTCAAGTAAGCACCAAAAATGATTTGTGACAGATACTATTCAGCTCGAGCGGTTGAATAACTAATGATACGATCTTTTCCCATCTTCAATTTTGTTTTCCTCAGGGCTGCAGCTATTGCAGAGAGAAGTGAGTAGATGAAGGCAGAAATACATGCTTAAGCCTTCACTGCATTTGTATCTTCTGCAGATATTGGAAATCGTCTAATTCTTGTTTTTTATAGATCGTGCGCGTGTGGCAGGTGGTCTGCCTGATGTTGTGACCATTCAAGAGGGCAAGGTAGTGTACATGCTTCTCTGTATGGCTTGAAAAGACAAAAATGACACCAAAATAACAAAACTGTCAATAACAAAACTTCACTCCTCTCTCGTAGTGTCTGAACCTGACCTGCAATATCTGGGGCGAACCCGTACCCGAGGTCACCTGGCTAAAGAATGAGCGCGAGATGGTTTCCAACGATCACTACATTCTGAAGTTTGAGTCGGGCAAGTTTGCCAGTTTCACCATCACCAGCATCAATACGTCTGATTCCGGCAAGTACAGCATCCTGGTAAAGAACAAGTACGGCACGGAGAGCGGCGACTTCACCGTAAGTGTCTTCATCCCAGACGAGGAACCCGGCAAGAAAAAATAAAACCAACCAAACAGAAAAAAATAAACATTATGATTATGCAAAACTAAATTACAAAAAAAAAATTCTGCAAGATTTAGATGACACGCTGAAACGTTTGACCGATAGACCATGGTGCTAATATCTTGGTTGCAGATTGAAAAGAGTTGGTCCAAGTTTTAATCCATCAATGTCAAAGTAGTGCTATAATTGGAAACAGATATTTTTCTGGATAGAGCTTGCATTGCTTACTTGACCGTTTTCTCCATCATGGTGTTAGTAAAATAGTTTAAAGCCCAGATTAGAGAATGAATGCAGTTTGACTCCAGGTTGTGTTGAGAGTGTGTAGTTTTACTGAGAAGAAACAGGTGCACTGAAGTGCATGAAAGATTGACACTTTTGAATTGAGGGACAAATGGACGCTCCATTTCTGTATAGCTTATCATTACTCAGTCCTGAAAAGCAGGGGCTTAGATTCACAAGTAAACATCAAATAGTCCATATTACAATCAATGCTGTAAAGAAATCTTTAAATGGTGTTTAAATGAATCCATGCCCCTGCTGTAAGCTTTCTGTGGGTTCTCTATAATGTTTCACATTTCTAATGAATCACTGCATGCACGATCCCATTGTGACAGCAGTTATGTCTTCACTTCCTCTTTGACCTCACAGATAATGATGACTTCCTCTGTTATTTCCAATAAATGGAGCGCATATTCTCTCGACTCCCTCCTCTGTGTGTCCCTTGTTTTTGTCTCCACACTTTCCTCATCATGCACATCCCTCCTTCCCGAATTCTGCATCTGAGACCGCAGATGCCCCGTCGTCTGCAACCAACCTGAACACCGTCTCTAACTTCACCCTCAACTTCAGAGTTAACATGCACACTCTCACAAAACAGTTCATAAATAGTTTTTCATTACCCAGTCAAATGTTCAGAAGAAATGGTAAATATGCACCATTTTAATGCAGTATTGGAACAATACTACATGCTTTATTTTAAGGTGTCCTTATTGCAGTGTAGTTATATATTTAAGTGACAACAACAACATGTGATTACTATATGGTTAGGGTTTGGTTTAGGCTTAGTTGCATGTAATTATGCATAATTTACTCTTATTAATATAGTAAGTACATGCAACATGCAACAAGGACACTGAAAAATAAAGCGTTACCTTATTTTCATTAACAACCTGTGCTGGATTCACACTGAATTAAATCCAGAGTGGAGAAGGTCTAGCAAAAATAAGTTTTATTTATATAGTATTTATATTAACTACATAGTGCAAAACGTGCACAGTGCAAGTGAATTAAAAAGTAAAACAATTAACTTCTCCAGTCTGGATTTAATTCAGTGTGCAGCCAGCGATCTCTTTGTTTGCGTTGACTTTTTTGGCTTTACGCACCTGGCGCAAAAATCTCTTCTAGTACATTAACAAACTGTAGAAATTGTGCCACATTGAAAAGCAAAAGTCAAAAGAGTTTTTTTTAGTGCTGATGAGCTTGAAAAACAACAGAGGGGTTAAATTCCAAATAATAAAAGTACACATTTATGCCATAATGAAAAAAACATTGATTTGTTTATTGGTGCATCTCTAAATTCAAGTCATGAAAAACGAATTGGTAAGCGTACGTTTACTAGTGTAAAAATGCAAAACATTAGCAACTAACACTATTATATTCAGTATTCAATGTCAACATGTCAAAACTAAAATTATTGCACAGAAATAAAGGTAGATTTTTGTTCCTGTGGCTCAGTGGTAGAGCATTGCGTTAGCAGCGCAAAAGGTTGTGGGTTCAATTCCCAGGGAACACACATACTGGTAAAACATGTATAGCCTGAATGCACTGTAAGTCACTTTGGATAAAAGCGTCTGCTAAATGCATAAATTATCATTATTATTAATTAAATTATAATTAATTATTATTTGCATTATGCAATGCATTTTTATCTACTTTCTGTATGCATGTACTTTTGGTCAGACACACAAGAATACAAGATCAACTCGCATCACCTCACTACCGTGCCAAATTTCACACTCTCATTGTATAATGAATTATGTTTAGTGTCCAAATACAGATGAAGAAGAAATCCAGATTAATATGAGAACTGCGTTTGTACGTCCACGTAACTTGTGCCTCTTGCTCTTGCCAGTTGAATGTGATCGAAAACATGGGTGATTTTGGTGTGGTGTCATATCTGGCCGACGCAGATGGAAACGTGATTGTTGGACCTACAACTCCCGAACCCACGTATCGTTCAACAACGCCTTCAACCAGATCAGTTCCCATAACACCCAGCCCAGTTACCCCAACTCTAACATCAACCCCGGCTAATACAACCCCCCAAAATAAAACTAGAGCTACCCCGACCCCCAAAAATCAAACTCCAAGTACAGAACGTTCCTCAACCCCACCTGCTCAGATCCCCAATAACCAATCCCATGGTTCCCCGACCCCTCAAACCTCAGATACACTGATCCTCTCAACCTCAAACACATCCACTCCCACATCAGCCGAGAAATCAGCCAATACATCAATGGATAATGAGAAGATAACAGCGATGCTGAAAGGTGAGAAACGGTGCAAAACTACACATACGCCTGCAAAATACAGACCTGAATGTGATTTACGGGTTTTGTTGTTTAATACAGATTCTGTAAATCTGGGATTATCCACTTTAGAGACGGAGCTGGTTGATGCCATGCATCTCACAGAACACGAGGCAACATCTTCATCAGAACCAGACGAATCTACACCAGCTCTTGAAACCGAAAACCACGAAAATGTGTGTGAGAAGAAAGATGATTAAAAATGCTTGAGGATACAGCTTAACTGTATTTATATGTTTTAGAACTAGGTATAGGACATGAACCATGTTAGTTATGGTTTTAGAGATTTATTTGATGAGTGTGTCATTTCAAATGCTTGTACACCAGTGCTTTAGAAAAGTTTGATGGGAGGCAAAATTATATTTCAAGGCCTTTGTGTTGTCTCTGAAATATGGAAGAGGATTAGTGCCAAGCAGTAATAAAACCATCTCGAGATAAAAGTCATTATAATGCGGTATTAAACTTGCAGTTTTTTGAGAAACAAAGTCAAAATAAAATGTTGAGAATAAACTGTTAATGCACAACAATACTGAGGTGCAAATAGTATCTGTCACTATTCATAAGTATAAATAGCATCTAATTCAGTGGCGGGCCGTGCATTTCACACCTAGGCCTTCAGTGGCGTCCTACATGAATTAATCCACCTCTTAATACCATCATAATGATGCCACGGCTATAGAAACCATAAATATTACACAGAAATGCAGTATAGCAGGGCATTGCATCACAGAAAGGTATCTCATGTAGCGAGAATGAATGCTATTACTAGATTATGCTCATCTATAGCTGAAGCATTAACCTAACAAAAAGACACAAATATAGTCCACCCGATGTTCTTACAGACATTTATTAACTCAAACGTATTTATACCTTACACTCTAAAAATGCTGGGTTGTTTCAACCCAACTTTGGGTCAAATATAAAAAATGTTATGTACAAATTTAACCCAACGGTTGGGTTAGTCCATATTTTACCCAAAGTTGGGTTGAAACAACCCAGCATTTTTTAGAGTGTACAGATAACATTGCTATAAAACTTAAACCTGGCTTTATATCTTGCAAATAACATCAGAATATAACGCATAAAGCGATAAAAAAAAAAGGTCAAAAATGAAATTTAACCTACCATACTAGTGGTTTTTCATCTTCACGAGTCTTTCACAGAGCTGGTGCTGAGGAGGTGTGTCTTTGTTTTTCACGGTCATTTAATACGTTTTAATTTAGATTTACAGAAGGCGAATATTTTTCAGAATGCACTGAAAATCGACAATAACGCAGTGTACACAACATATACAGTAAGAAACCTTTGAAAAGAAGTAATAATACTGTGAAAACTACAATGATTTACAGTGATGCTGTTTGCTAGCTTTGACCAGTACGCTGTATGACCATCCAATCAAAAGACGAGAAAATGCTGACGTTATCGTAAGCCTGCCCTATATGGCCCTGGTGCTGTTTCATTGCCATTGATTTTAAGCTACAGACGCCTGCACTGTTGATTCTGAAGGGTTTATCAAGCAGATTTCTTTGACCCTGGCAACACGATTGCTGAAATATGATTGGATAAAAGCTCTAATGAAAATATAAACTACTGAAAGCAGCGTAACCATGAGCAAAGCTATGAAATGAAGACAATAGACTATTGGAAATAATTTAATACACATTCATGGGAAAATATATTAAAACTAAGTCAGTGATTCTGATTAGTGTTTAGGCCAGCAGAAAAGGCTTTGCTGGCCCTGACGGCCCACCACTGATCTAATTACTATTACACACTTATTGCAAAGATCTGCTACTTTTACAGAGAGTAAATATAATCACTATTTTCAGTGTAACACATCGCTAAAAAATGCTGCTGTTGTCATTTAGTGTAAATAGAATATATCAATATTTTCAATAGCTGCTGACCTAAACTTAAAAAACCTCACAGCATTTCCATTAATGGCTGTACAGATGGTTACAGTCGTTTCAATCTATGGAGAAAGGAGGCACAACCATCAACGATCCTAAAGTAATAGCCAGTTTTTCTGGAAACACAACTTTTTCTCGTAATTGAATGAGTTTCTTGAAATTTAACAAGTTTAATCTTGCATTATAATAACTTTAACCTCAAGATGGTTTCATTAGTTTTATTATTCCTTGGCCCTAAACGCAAAGTCTCTCGGGGAGCTCAAACGTTTTTACAGAGCCCCTAAAAGAACATGGTGGTGGAAAAAAATATGGGATGGGAGGAAAAATATTTTTCAAAGCTTTGGCGTTCTCTTCCGAAACGTTTGCGTTCCCTGGATAAACTTTGCGTTCGCTAGTGAAACTCTTGCATTTGCTCCATCATAGAAAACTCTTAACATGGCTGGATGAAGACAGTGATATAAAAAGCCCAAATTTGGTATACAGTTTATTAAAAATATAAGCTATGTACAGGCAAGCAGATGAACCCAGTATATGAACGCAACATGCTGAACTGTTATGAAGAAAACGCCTACTTAGCGAGAGAATGAATCAATTATTTCCTCCCATCTAATTTTTAAATAGCACCATGTCACAATGCCTTTTTTACTTTTAATACATGGTCCTGGTTTAATTGCGTACAATTAGTCATTGCATGTTACTCCAAAGAAAACCTTTTTTTTTTCAACTGAGTCCTAAATGTAATTGAATACACCCACTTTTCACCATCCACCCGTCTACAGCCCTTTTGCTGGAAATCATATTTTTTTAGTTTTAGCTCGCAGTATAGTTTTACTGACATTCATTCAATTAGTTTGCAAAAAACAATACAAGCACAATCTATTAATCTGAAATATGTTTGTTAAATCTATTAATCTAATACATGTAGTGCTACCATAACATTGAGTACTAGAATACAAATTTAATATAGGAAAATGTTTTGAATATGTATGCATGTTTATATGTTTGATTAAATAAAGTGTAGAACCGAACAATTGAGCAATAAGTGTGTTATTAAATGACTATCATCAATATAGCAACACCTCAGTTATTGTTACTCAATGTTTTTCACCTTCTAATGCTCTCAGATTTTCAGTGCTGGTAGAACAGCATTATGCATATGCTCTTGGTCATGAAAACAACAGAATACTTCAGCTGAA